GGCCGGTATCGCCCACCTGCTGTAGCAGGTATCACACCTGCTGGTGGGTGCAACTCCCGCATGTTCCCTCGTTGGAGGCTTGAGCACAGATGTCGCTGCAATGGGGTTCGGTTCCCCGTAACACTATAATCATAGTATAACCACAATAAAAAAAGGCCGTCCTGTCCAGATTCAACAGGTATTCGGTTTGGTTGGGCTTAAAGAGTTAGCCTTTTTTTCCTTTTTTTATAATCATAGTATAACCACAATAAAAAAAGGCCGTCCTGTCCAGATTCGACAGGTATTCGGTTTGGTTGGGCTTAAAGAGTTAGCCTTTTTTTCCTTTTTTTTTTTCTAACAAACTGGGGAAGAGTTTGAAATTGTTTTTGTTTCATTGGAAAAGAATAAAAGAAAAGAAAGTAAGGGCATCACTTGAGCGCGGGCGCGACAGCTTGTTCAAGAGGGATGAGGGATCACTTCAAAACTCGATGCACACGCTTTACAATCACATTACTTTCATCGAAACTTCAGCCAGGCAATCGTGTCACATCCAGCCTTACCTTTTTCCTTACTCTAAGGGGAAATATGAAAGTAGGTATGACAACCACATGTCAGAGCAACTCAACTGAAAATCTGAAAATCCTGAAGGAAAAGAGAAAAAAACATTATTAGAAATAAAAAAACACACACAGAGTGCAGCACCCACCATCCCCTTCTCCCCTCCTGGATGAGCCCTCACATCCATGACGCGTACATGGCCCTACCCTCCTTCACCTTCAACCCTTTGCGAACCCTCCACTACTCCCATTCTCCCATTTCACCTCCTCCTCTTCCTCCTCCACTAGCTCCTTCCTCCTCCCCATCTCCAAATCTCCTTCTGAAGGACACATCAGGCTTCCTTTTGACGAAAAAATCCAAAATATCCGGTAGATTCCCATCCTGGGCAGTTGTCATCATCGATCCTGACCACCAATCATCAATCATTGATCATCGATGTCCCTGTTCCACACTGCCACTCTCAGAACTGCCCCTCTCTCCCCACACTTACCCTGGCACATCCCGGAAGCAGCGCCACGCAGCTCGCGCTGCACTTCCCGTGCCTCTCTTTAGGCGATCCGTAATCGCCATCATTTGCTGCTTGGTCTATACTGCCTGAAAGAGAGGAAAGTGGAGCAAATGGAGGAGAGAGGGAATATGCACAAACGCGCACACAAAGGAAGGAACAAAGAAGGCGATTTTTAGTTTTTTTTTCAAACGCTGACAGAGTGGCCCACGACCACTTGCCGGGCCAAGCCAAAGAAAAATAATAAAATAAAATAAAATAAAAAATAAAAAATATATAATTGAATTTTAATGTTTTATAAACTTTTATTCCGTGCTAAACTCCGGGCCGCCCGGCGGCCCAGCCTCCGCCCGGCAGGGGTCCCGGGCGGCCCGGCCGGTTGGGTCCCCCGGTTCGAAGCCGGGCGGGCCCAGCGGATTTTGTGCAGCGGGGGGGGGTTGGCCTTTTACGATTTGTTGGTGGTCTCGGGAGCCTTCACGCCCCCCCGCGCGAAAGATTTCCTCCGGTGGCGGTACCCTACGGGCGGCCTTGGAATTCGAACACCGAGTTTGTCGAAGGTCCGCCAGTTTTCCTCTGCCCGCCTTCGACAAGGTGCCCGCCGTTGCTGCCCACCGTGGAGGTTCCCGTTGCTGCCCGCCGTCACTTCCCGCCGCCGCTAACCGTCGTCGAGAGCTGCCCGTCGTGGAGGTTGCCGAGCGCTGCCCGTTGTCACTTCCCGCCGCCGCTAGCCATCGTCGCCGAGGTGACTGTCGTCAGTTCCCGGCGCCGCTGCCTGTCGTTGCCGAGGTGCCCGCTGTCGCTGCCCGCCTTCGCCGAGGTGCCAGACTCTCTCTCTCTCTCTCTCTCTCTCTCTCTCTCTCTCTCTCTCTCTCTCTCTCTCTCTCTCTCTCTCTCTCT